CCACGATTTTATAAAACATTTGCCGCTCAACTGGCCCCACTTTTGGCCCTGGCTTTTAATCTTATTGACGACCTGAATGTACCTTCTTCGTCTTTTTTATCAGCCAGTATTTCGGTTATCCCTAAGCCAGGTAAAGACCATTCTCTCTGCGGTAGCTATCGCCCGAATTCTCTTCTTAATCTGGACGTTAAGCTTTTTGCTAAACTTCTAGCGAGCCGCCTCTCTCCTTTTTTACAAACCTTGATCCTCCATGATCAGGTTGGTTTTGTTCCCGGTCGTGAAGCAAGGGATAACACTTCTAAGACAATTCACCTTATTTCTTATATTAAGCAGCACAATTTAAGGGCTTGCCTCCTTTCATTTGATGCTGAGAAGGCATTCAATCGTGTAGATTGGCATTTTCTTCGTCTCACCCTAGAACAGATAGGTTTGGTCCGCGTTTCCTAGCTCGGATTATGTCCCTCTATTCTCGTCCTTCGGCGTCTGTCTTAGTGAATGGTATGGTTTCTCCACCCTTTCCCATATCAAATGGAACTAGACAGGGTTGTCCCCTCTCGCCCCTTCTTTTTGTTTTAGTAATGGAACATCTTGCGAGAGCTATTCGAACTAACGACTCGATATTGGGCGTCCGCACTCCTTCTGCACACCATAAACTATCCCTATACACAGATGACCTTTTGGTTTATGTCCAACAGCCACTTACCTCACTCCCTAGTCTTTTCCATGAATTCCACAGATTTGGTCTCTACAGTAACTTCAAGCTTAATATCGCTAAAACAGAGGCCTTGAATATTTCTTTACCTGATCATATGTCGGCGAATCTCCATTCTAACTTCTCTTTTCAATGGTGTCCAAAGGCTATTACGTATTTAGGGGTCATGATTTCTGATGACCTTAATGCTCTATACTCCCTTAATTATTTACCCCTGCTTTCCCGTATTCGCACAGACCTGGCTTCATGGGGCGCCTCGGCCCTGCACTGGTTCGGCCGCATCAACAACCTCAAGATGGATACCTTACCTAAGTTGCTATACGTTTTTCAAACTATACCGATTACCGTGCCTAAGAGCTTCTTTCTATCTTTACGCTCCCTTTCGATTCGATTTATTTGGCACCGAGGATTTTCCAGATTAAAATATAGGTTACTCACTTACTCGAAGCTCGGAGGCGGAGTGGGTTGGCCAGACTTTGAGTAATATTATAGAGCCAATCTACTAGCTCGGATGCTTGATTGGTTTCCCAGACCCTTCCGTAAAGCCTCTTATATGATAGAACAAGATCTATCCCTGATCGACCTTCGGGCTTTACCTTGGGGTTACAGCCAAGACAATCGGCATTTTTACGGTCTGTCCCCATTGACTGTGGCTGTACAGAGGCTGTGGTATAAATGGGGCGTCATTGCTCTCTTATCCTCTGACCCCCTCTCCTTTATCACTCCTATTTGACAACCCTGCTCTCTCTCCAGGGTTTGGCTCTTCGGCTATCGGTCCCTTTTATATATGCCTTCTGGCCTGTAGCTTGAGAATTTATTTGCCCCCAGTCGGGTCTCCCACTTCTTCAGGGTGGATCTAAGGATTGGTTGACCACTTTAGACCTTTCTTCATTTTGCAAATATTTATATTATTCCTCCTTCACCCATCGCCCACTCTTTGAGTGGTTGTGTTCCCTCTCTGACCCACCGAGACATGTCTTAGCTTCCCTCTATAAAGTGTTACACAATGCACTTCATTCTGAGCTCCCTCCCTATACCAAGCCATGGTCTCGAGACCTAGGTAAAGACATTTCAGCAGCGGACTGGTCCACGTTGTTCCACTTCACTCACAAATCATCCATTTCTTGCTATTCCCAGGAGAAAAACTTTAAAGCAAGCTTCTTTCTTGCTGGTATAGGGACCACCTTTCCCTGCACACAATTTTTCCCTCTACATCCAATCTTTGCTGGCGTTGTACTAAAGCTGTTGGTACGCAGCTCCATATTTGGTGGGATTGTGACCAAATACAAGCATTCTGGCTACAGGTTTTTGCAGTGTATAACAGGGTCTATGGTGAGTCCTTGGCCCCTGCGCCAGAGATTGCTCTACTCTCTATATTGCCAGGCTCATTGACACAGCAAAAGAAAAGCCTATTGCACTTTTTTCTTTCTGCGGCTCGTCAATTGATAAAAACGGAAAACGACCCCCCCCCAAATCTCTTCAGTTGTGGGTGTCCATGCTCAATGATATCATGCGTATGGAGGAAATGCTGGTGTTTGCCAATGATACCTATGATAAACACAAGTTACTGTGGTTGGTCTGGCTCCATTTCTCCTCCTCTTCGACGACTCTTCGTGAGATGTGTTCCCCTGACTGATTTGTGCTTGCTCCCCTGATTCCATTTTTTCCGGGGGGTCCACCAGTTTGACCCCGCGGCTCACATCAGATGTGGCTGGTGGGGTTGCCCCAAGGGGATCCTGGAAGAGGACAGCCTCGGTCCTGCTTTTTGCCATCTCCCGATCCCACTCTCTTCTTGTCTTTCTTTATCTCTCCAACTGACCTCTCCTTTTTTCTCTTCTATTTCCTTACCCCCCCCCCCCCCCCCCCTTTTTTTTTTACTTTTGTTCTTGTTTTGTTTTGTTTTCGTTTGGATTCTGATTCATATTCTAGTTTTATACGGAACTGGCTCATTTTGTCTCTTACATCTCATCGTGGATGCCCTCCTCGACACAATATTTATTCATATCTCCGTAGTACATGCCATTATGTTATTGATCCTTACATTTTTTTTTTTTTTTTTTTATGGAACTATTTTCACCTTTTCACATGAATCATTGTTACATTTGTGTGATGGCTTTTTTATGTATGTACACTTGTACCTGTTTTCATTTTTCCTCCATGCCACGTACTGTTAAACTGTTGAAATTGTAATAAAGACAAATTTGCCTTTTAAATTTAGTTCTGACATACTATGACAAGTATGATTACACCATTATCACTATTAAACAAGTTGTCTCTAACTTGTACAACTGTAATACACTCCTTCAAAGTTCCATCCATTGTCTGGATATTTTACAGGCTGTGGGAGTCTGTTTGTGTTTTTCTTTTGGTTGAGCTAGATTAATTTTTGTCTTTTCAACCTGACTGAAGCTAGCTATACATACACAATCAAGGTGGATGGGGGTGTCCTCCTTGCTACGCTATTGTATTCTGCCAGCAAGGGAACTCCTCCACTGTCAAAATACACAGTGCTGCAGCTGCTGATCAAGCGGCTTTCTTTTCCAACAGGTCTGTTTAGCAGAAGTCAATCAATAGATTGTTATAGTTATACTGGCTGGTATACATTTTTGGTTTGCCAGTGTCCAATCCTCTAGTAGGTGACAGTATCTCCCTGAAAGTTAAAGCTAAGGTTAAGTTATGGCTTTTTTTTTTCTCCCTGGGACATTGTAGTCTGACCTCTGCAACTGCCATTGTCAAAATGTGGAGTTTTCCAACATTCTCCCTAATTTGATCATAGAATTGAGTTCTGTCAAGCAGGGACTGCTACAAACCAATTGAAATGCAGCCGGTCCCTGTTGAGACAGCTAAATTTTGATCCGTCTCTGCCCAACGTTAAATTGGTCCAGATTGTAAGTATAGATGTGCCATACCTGGCCAATCCCTGTGGAAGGTGGTAATCACTGTAGTAGGCACCACTACTACTGTGACCGCGTCTACCTTCTGGCTCCTGTGATAAACTCTTCCCTTGCTGCTTAGTGAACAATGGGCTGCTTGCTTGGCATAGAAACCATTCAGAGAACACTCTACATATTCTCAATGGTGGAGAAGGATTTGGGAGTTCTGGTAGATCACAAGCTTAATAATGGCATGCAAAGCCAAGCTGTGGTTTCTCAAGCGAACAAAATCCTCTCTTGTATTAAGAGGTATAGACTTCAGAGAGAGAGATATCATATTACCCCTGTACAAATCATTAGTAAGACCTCATCTGGAATATGCAGTTCAGTTTTGGGCACCAATTCACAAAAAGAACATTGGGGAACTTGAGAAAGTACAGAGAAGGGCAACCAAACTGATAAGAGGCATGGAGGAGCTCAGCTATGAGGAAAGATTGGAGGAACTGAATTTATTCTCTCTTGAGAAGAGGAGATTAAGGGGGGATATGATCAACATGTATAATACATCAGTGGTTCATATAGTGAAATCGGTGTAGAGCTATTCACCCTGAGGTCATCACAGAGGACAAAAGGGCACTCTTTACGTCTGGAGGAGAAGAAATTTAATCTATAACACAGAAAGGTTTCTTCACAGTGAGAGCTGTGAAAATGTGGAAAAAACTCCCTCAAGAGTTGGTTCTGGCCAGCTCAGTGGATTGCTTCAAAACAGGCCTGGATTCTTTCCTAGATGCACAGAATATAACTGGATACTAACATTTATTTATAGGTAAAGTTGATCCAGGGAATATCCGATTGCCTCTCGGGGGATCAGGAAGGAATTTTTTTCCCCTGCAGGAGCAAATTGGATCATGATTTGCTGGGTTTTTTTGCCTTCCTCTGGATCAACTGTGGGTCTAGGATTATAACTTTTTTTTTTTTTTTCTATGGTTGAACTGGATGGACTTTTGTCTTTTTTTCAGCCAAACAAACTATGTAACTATATTCTGAATTAATTCAATGATTGAACAAAGTGCATAGGCAAGGGCAGTGATATGCATTCTTACCAAGCTGCAGTAATGTGACTACGCAAGAAAAGCCATACCTAAACTTCAGCCTTTAAAGTCTTGTCCCTGTGTCCCTCAATTGACTCCAAGACTTAATTTTTTTTCGGTTAGTACAAAAATTCAATCTCTTTTAAACAAACATGAAAAGATTTGAGCTTTTTTCCTTTATTTTCCAGGAACGTGTTATCTCCTTTGATTTATCATGTTACTGTGGTGATGTCCAGTATTGTTGTACCAGGTGAAAATATTGCTAGATTTAATATCGTTCTTAATTGTTTAATAGCTTTTTTTTTTTTTTTTCTTTATCCCTAGATGTGTCTGAGCTGTTGAATTTCCTGCGGCCGATCCATGAAGGCACACTAATACTACTGGCATCTTATGATGATCCTGCTACAAAGTAAGGCGGAAAACAAGTTTCCTACTATAACAGGGTACCTGTTTTCCAGAAAATATTATGCAGAGGATGAAAGGCAAGAGAGCCACACCCCTTGTGTTACAACCCCAATCCGAAAAAAAGATGTTGCAATGGTGTGTAAAATCTACATAAAAACAGAATCAATGATTTGCAAATCTCATAAACCCATAGTTTATTCACAATAGAAAACATCAAATGTTTAAAATGAGAAAATGTACCATTTTAGGAAAGAAAATAAGGAAACCGTTGCAGAATTTTAGGAGAGGAATGTTGTCACATTCTTGCCTGTTATATGATTCTAACTGCTCAACAGTCCTAGGTCTTCTGTGTCGTATTTTTCTTTTCTCGATGCGCCACATATTTTCATTTGGTAAAGGTTCTGGACTGCAGGTAGGCCAGTTAAGCAACTGGACTCTTCTACTAAAAAGCCATGTTGTTGTCATAGATGCAGTATGCGATTTAGCATTGTCCTGCTGAAATATGCAAGGCATTCCATGAAAAATATATCGACTGGATGTGAGCATATGCTGCTCTAGAACCTGAATTTATATTTGTGTTGATAGTGCCTTTTCCAGATGTGCAAGCTGCCCATTTCACATGCACTAATGCACCCCTATACCATCAGAGATGCAGACTTTTGAACTAAGTGCTGATAAAAAGCCAGAAGGTTCTTCTCCTCTTTAGTCTGGAGGATGCAGAGCCCATGGTTACCAAAAATGTCAAATCTCTGACCACAGAACAGCTTTCCACTGTTTGCATGATAGAGCTTTACCTTGCATTTTTGGATGGAACAGCAAACTGTGTTCACTGAGTTATTTTCTGACGTATTCCTGAGCCCATACAGTGATGTCCATCACAGAGTCTTGTCTGTTTTTAATTCAGACCTGTCTGAGGACCCAAAAATCAATGGCATCCAGTAGTGCGTTTCGGCCTTGTCCCTTGCGCACAGAGATTTCTCTGGATTCTTGGACTCTCTTGATAATATGTACTGTAATTTTTGTTGCCCTGCCACAACTTTCTGATACAGTTGTGTTCAAAATAATAGCAGTTGAAAAAAGTGAATAAAGCTCAAAATCCTTCTAATAGCTTTTATTTCCATACACACAAATGCATTGGGAACACTACACATTCTATTCCAAATCAAAACATGAAGAAAAATATATCTAATTTGTGTTGTTCCTCTAAAAAAAAATTGAAGAAAAGTGAATATTAGACTGTTCAAAAAAATAGCAGTGTTTGTATTCTTTACAAACTCAAACATTCACTATATAAACTGAAAAATGTTTGAAGATTTTGCTTTCCTTTGAATCACTTAATGAATATTTAGTTGTATAAGCACTGTTTCTGAGAACTGCTGTACATCTGTGTTGCATGGAGTCAACCAACTTCTGGCACCTGTGAACAGGTATTCCAGCCCAGGATGATTGGACTACATTCCACAGTTCTTCTCTATTTCTTGGTTTTGCCTCAGAAACTGCATTTTTGATGTCACCCCACAAGTTTTCTATTGGATTAAGATCCGGGGATTGGACTGGCCACTCCATAACGTCAATCTTTTTGGTCTTGAACCAAGATGTTGCACGTTTACTGGTGTGTTTGGGGTCATTGTCTTGTTGGAACACCCATTACAAGGGCATTTCCTCTTCAGCATAAGGCAGCATGACCTCTTCAAGTATTCTGATGTATTCAAACTGATCCATGATCCCTGGTATGCGATAAATAGGCCCAACACCGTGTATGAGAAACATCCCCATATCATGATTCTTGCGCAACCATGCTTCACTGTCTTCACAGTGTACTGTGGCTTGAATTCAGTGTTTTGGGGTCGTCTGACAAACTGTCTCTGGCCACTAGACCCAAAAAGAACAATCTTACTTTCATCAGTCCACAAAATGTTGCGCCATTTCTCTTTAGGCCAGTCAATGTGTTCTTTGGCAAATTGTAACCTCTTCAGCACGTCTTTTTTTCAACAGTGGGACTTTGCAGGGGCTTCTTGCAGATAGCTTGGCTTCACATAACAGTACTCACAGGCAACTTTAGACCTTCTTTTATCTTCCTGGAGCTGATTGTTGGCTGAGTCCTTGCCATTTGGCTATTCTTCTATCCATTCGAATGGTAGTTTTTCGCTTTCTTCCACGTCTTTCAGGTTTTGGTTGCCATTTTTAAGCATTTGCGATCATTTTAGCTGAGCAGCCTATCATTTTCTTCACTTCTTTATATGTTTTCCCCCTCTCCAATCAGCTTTTTAATCAAGGTACGCTGTTCTTCTGAACAATGTCTGGAATGACCCATTTTCCTCAGAATTCCTCAGAGAGAAATGCACTGTAACCAGCATGTACTACATTTGCTGCCTTCCTTCCTTAAATAAGGGCAATAATTGTCACCTGTTTTTCAAAGAATGAATAACCTCACTAATAGAACTCCACACTGCTATTATTTTGAACATGCCCCTTTCAATTAGTGATTCAATTACACAGAATCAGCAGAATGCATGTCATGACTGTTGGGTCTGTTGGATTTCTATTACTCTACTACACCTGCTAGTAAATTATTTGCCACGTAGAAATATCATTTCTACCAAAAAACAGTGATTGATCAGGTTAGTGATGTCTGACTGCTATTATTTTGAACACAACTGTACATGTCACTGCCATCAATTTCAAAAGTACCTTATTCTTTTTCTTAAAATAGTATATTTTCTCAGTTTAAATATTTGATATGTTTTCTATTGTGAATAAAGTATGGGTTTATGGGATTTGCAAATCATTGCATTCTGTTTACATGTAGATTTTACACAGTGTCTTAACATTTCTGGAATTGGGGTCGTAGTTGAATTTGGAGAGTATAGATTGACGTGTGAGTGTGCAATGATAGAGATATATATATATATATATATATATATATATAATATATATATATTACCACACACACACACACACACACTATATTGCCACTGGTGTATAAAATCAAGCACCTAGGCATGCGGACTGCTTCTACAAACATTTGTGAAAGATTGGGTCGCTCTCAGGAGCTCAGTGAATTCAAGCATGGTACCGTGATAGGTTGCCACCTGTGCAACAAGTCCATCCATGAAATTTCCTTGTTACTAAATATTCCACGGTCAACTGTTAGTGGTATTTATAACAAAGCAACTGGGAATAACCGCAACTGGGAATAACCACAACTGAGCCACGAAGTGGTTGGCCATGTAAAATGACAGAACAGGGTAAGCACATGCTGTGCAGTGTGTAGAAGTCGCTAACTGTCTGTAGAGTCAATAGCTTAAGACCTCCAAACTTCATGTGGCCTTTTAGATTAGCGCTGCAACAGTGCATAGAGAGCATGATGGAATGGGTTTCCGTGGCCGAGCAGCTGCATCCAAGCCTTCTATCGCCAAGTGCAATGCAAAGCATCGGATGCAGTGGTGTAAAGCACACCACCATTCTACTCTAGAGCAGTGAAGATGTGTTTTCTGGAGTGACGAATCATGCTTCTGTCTAGCAATTCAATGGACGTGTTTGGGTTTGGCGGTTGCTGGGAGAACGGTACTTGCCTGACTACATTGTTCCAAGTTTAAAGTTTGGTGTGGGGTTGTTTTTCAGGGGTTGGGCTTGGCCCCTTTGGTATTTGGGTGCAGAAGACACCTCTGTTGGCCTACAAACTAACACTTTGGTCTTGGCACCTCTCTCCTTATTACTGCTCTTGTGCTCCTGCACAAAACTGCTTTTGTTTCATTGGGTTCGATATATCCTTGGACCCCTTACTCCTATCTAGTTGGGGACACAGGTTTCCGTGCCCTTTCATGGCATCTTCATTGTGGGATCATTGGTTGAACTTCTCTGTAGAGAGTCAGTGTTGTGGATTCTTGCAATTTGCAACCCTTGGATGGTCTAATATGTACAAGCTTTGGGATGGGTAAGGCTTTGCAGGTGCCTTCTGCGATAGCTCCATGTCTCCAGCAGACAAGGCTATTTAAAGCGGAACTCAACTGTATCTGAGCACCTCAGACTAAAAAAGCCATTTAAATTGGTTGTAACAGATTTCTTTTTTTTAATAACAAGCATGTCTATACATGCCTGCTCTGTGCAATAGAATTGCACAAAGTGTCCCTGAACCCCCTCTTCTCCGGTCCCCCCACTGGTGCACCTGGCTCCTCCTCTTTGCCATGTGCCCCCAATAGGCAGCTGCTTCCCATAGGGGCACTTATGCAGGCTCACTCCTGAGCCACACTGCTACATCCATTGACACACAGTGGGACTCACACTCCCACTACCTCGTTACTAGCTTTGATTAACAGTGGGAGCCCGCTGCCTTAGCAAAACCTGTGAGACCAGGAAGTGAGGGGAAAGAAGAGCTGCAGAAGCAGAAGCTTTACCTTAATGCAAAGACTGCATTAAGGTAAAAAATATTTAGGCTATAGAACCACTTTAATTCATTTTTAATATTCAAAGCAAACTCACCCATGAATCATCTGCTCTTACTGAAGGTGGCCTTGGCTAGAAATACTATAGGGTGTTCTCAAAGTAATTTTTCAACAAAATAAAGTAAGGAGACAACCTTGAGATGTTTTTTTCGTTCATCCTCTACTTCTGGTCCTGGTTGCACCCTTGTAGGGGTGCCTGATTTGCAACTTACCACTGTCAGGCACTTTACCCATGAGTTCTCTTTCAGTTTCAGGATTGGTGTTCTTGTGGTAGTCATTCCCCACTGATGTTGATCTCTTCTATCCTAATCTTGAGCAGCAGGTTGATCTTTGATGGCTTTCTCTTGGTTATTGGAACTTTTCTTTTGTCTTTCAGGGGACTTCACCTCTTCTAGATCAGTTTCGGCCATTAGTCTTCCGTTGGACGAGAGTTGCTGATGGTACTTAGTACCCTCCTGTGGCTTTTCTCAACTCTGTTAGGCTGCTTTTGGACATGATTTGTATCTGAATTACTGTCAGATCTATTTCTTTGTGTCTATTGAGGGACCCAAGTCCCACCTCTCTTTTTGCTCTTGCCCTTGGAACTGCTTTCAACAAAACTGAGGAATGCAGTATTCAGGAGGAGTTATATGGGGGCTGGCTTACAATTTTTTGTCTGCCAGTGGCCAAATCTCTTGTAGGTGGCAGTATAACCCGATTTGTGGCTGAATTCTGATGTCCCTCAATGGACGCCAAGAAATACATTTGAAGTACAAAAATATAAATTTTTATTAAAATAAAAAATAAGCATAAGGCAGGCCATAAACAGGTTGTTATGGGCCGATAAACGAAAAGTCGGTCGGCCCTGTTGCTGATGCTGCCACCCATGTCCATGAAAAATGGCCGTTTTTCACAGATTTTCCAGCATGACGGATAAAAATAAATGAGGAGATCCGCGAAAAACGGCCGACGGGCTGGCCCCACTAACGGCGTGATTATCGGCCGATTTTTCGTGCAGACGAAAATTCGGCCGATAAACGACCCGTCTGTGGCCTGCATAGCTGGTAAGGGAATACGAGGTGCCTTTCCATAAGTAGTCCATCTATCTTTTTTAATTCAGGCACTTCACAGCTTCTTGCTATAAGGAAGGAACCTTTCTGAAGCTGCAGGTTTGTAAGCCATCTGATTTGTCTTCAAAATGAATCTGTGCCTTTTGTAATAGGTTGACTTTGATGCCTGCTGCACAAACAACTAAAAATTACTGTTTCTTTGCTCTTTAATGTTTCTGTGCCAGCATTCTTCCCTCCCACGTGACAATTCTGGGTGACCAGTCACTAAGCACCACACTGCCATCATGGGAGGGAGTCCCCTACTTTTTGGTCAGGCAGTGGACCAATGCAGTAAAGGAGTGAAGGGCTGATCAGAAACTGTTTGGTGGCCACCATTTAAATAAACTAGTTGCTTCTGCTGTTGTTGGGAGTAAAAGCCATTTCATTTTTTGAAGCTAGAATGAGAAATTGCATAGACAGATGATCAGGTAGGGGCTGCTCACTCATATTTTTTCCCTCCCGTCCTCAAACAGTGTTTTCACTCAAACAGGATAACATGTTAAGTTTTTATAAAATTTTCTTTCTGCTTTCAGGCCTATAATGTTAAACTTCAGAAGGTTTTTTTTTTTCATGTTCCTACTGAAAACATTTCCCCTCACTTTCTGTCCCATGCTTATTGCTTAGCAGTGCTGCATCATGCGCTGCCAATAATAAAATCTTTCTCAGCAGTTTTAATATAGTTTAAAAAATTGATGATTGAATCAATGTGGCTGTGGTCTTGTGTCTTGACCTTTCCTGTTTTGTTTGTATTTGCCATAGAATGACAGAGGAGGCTCGGAAGATGTTTGCTGAGCTTGGAAGCTCTGTGTCCAAAGAGGTGGCATTCAGGGATAGCTGGGTTCTTCTGGGAGCCAAGGGAGTCCTGGATAAAACTCCATTTGAACAGGTACACTTCTGCATGTTGATATGTTATTTTCCCTCTATGTATTGTGTACACTGCATTGATGGAAGAGCGATATCTTGTCACGTATGATGTAAGATTGGTATGGACTGCATTTGAAGGTAAAATTATGTGAAAGTGCAGTTGGTTTAGCACCCTGTATTTAAAGAGATTCTTTCACAAATTTTGCCAATACAAGCATTGCTTTTGAGGCGAAAATGCATAAGCAGAGGTTTCTTTATTTGTAAACTGCATGTCAGAATGATCGGTCTCTAAGTGTGAGAATAAAGGCATCAGCATTTATATGGAAATCACACACTTGCCCTCTGAATCAGGCATGTTGGTGTTGACAGCTCAGCACTAATAGTTTTCACCATGGAGCTCTTCTGTCTGAAGACAGTGGGAAAACTGGTAGCTGACCTGTATTTTCCTTTGTATGGTTGTGTCCCTACCACTAAATCACCCTTATTACTTAACTCTACTTTACTTGAGCATGTAGAACTATATCCGTGGACTTACCGTCAGTGCTTGGCACTAAGACGGTTGGGCTTAATCTTGGGCTGAGGTCAAGGCATCTTGTACAGCCAAGTAGCTCCACAAGGATAAAATGACAAATACTGATGATGTATTTCTATTAAATAATACAAGGCTTTAGTAATACTTTAAGGCTTGAATTTGTGGGCCTCAGACTAGTCTCGCTGTACCGTCCAATATATATATACGGCTGTATCATGCTGCCCTGTTTTCAGATCTAGGCCTGCTGAGTTAAGAATGTTCATAATAAGAGAGCTTAGAGAGAGCTTACCTTTTTATTATATTCCTGTCAGACTGGTCAGCCAGTTAAGTGGTAAAAATAATTATTTTCAAGTGGCAGTTGATATCAAGCCAACAAATTCCCTACAGTACTTATGTATGCAAAGTTAGCTAGCAAGAAAATGTCTTGTTGCCAAGAAGAGCCAAATTGTGACAGCGAGTGCTGGGGAACCACAAGGTTGTGGATGCTCAACATGTTACATGTTACACCCTAAATATGTTGAGAAAGGTGAACTTGTCCTTTAAAATGCAGAAGTGTGAATAGAACCTTAAAGTGAATATGTGGTCAGGCTGTGAAAATTCAGGTGTATACATATTCCTCCGATAAGTAAATGTGCTTTAAAACAAGCCCTCGCTAATGTCCAGTAAAGAATAGTTTGAGGGAACATTTGTCGGTTGTTCAGCCAGTAAATAAGCTTTAAAACAAGCCTTCACTTATTTCTTTCTGCAGGCACTGTAAACCTATTTCTTATCAAAAGTCACAGCAGAAGTGCTGAAGTCATTTAAGTTGGGTCTCTCAGCTACTCAGCCTACCTTTCTCATTCTCGCAGAGATCCTGCTGAACTACTGAATCACTGGTTGAGCTGAACTACTGAATCACTGCTGGGAGAGGAGAGCAGAGGGAGCAGAGCTACTGAGAGGGCCAAGTTAAATCACTGCAGTGCCTCTTTTTGATTTTTAAGGATGATTCATTTTTAAGCCCATTTATTGGTTATTAAGAGCAACCAATAAGATTTCTCACAAATTATTCTTGTAATGGAAATCCAAACCTACACATGAGTGGATGTACATGTTGGTAGGGAGCAAATGTCTTTAGGGTTTCAGTTGTAACTAAGTAAATAACTAAGGTTTTCATGTATTGCTTTTCTTCCCAACAGTTAATAAAGAACAGTAAAAGCAGCAACAAGTACGAGGGTTGGCCTGAGGCTGTGGAGTTGGAGGGCTGTGTGCCCCAACGTACTATAGAGTCTGAATAGCAACATATAGACTAGATGGTGATGAAAAAAGTGTAACCCAAGCGGGATCTTGTGTGCACTGGCGAATTTTGGTAACAAGTTTTCTTCACATTTGTACATTGTTGGCCCATAGCTGCCTGTATAGTTTGCACAAATATCCATGCCACTTCTTTGGCTTTGTCTTCTCCATACTATTCAGAAGAGCCACAGTCTATTTTCTGGGTGAGGAATACAAAGTTCAACTTAACTTCTTTTCAGATTTTAAAGAAGCCGCTCACCAGTCAAGATTGGAGGTTGAAAGATTGTATTACCTGCAATCCAGACATTTCTGTATACATCTCAAATTTCTTCAAAGATCTTAAACAACAAATTAGGAAAGCAAAGATAAGAGATGATAAACCAGATATAAAACTCCTTATTTTAAACTTCGCTATGTTGTTCAATCAATATGTTCTGCGACTTGTATGCAGTCAAAATGTTGTTCAGTGACTTATACATGGACTATCTAGTATCTGGATTTTAGCCAGTTGTATCAGGGCTTCAAAGCAGTGAAACATTTAATTTTAGGACACATTACAGAGGTGTAGGGGTTCTGAATTTCAAGATATCCATGCTTACAATTAGCATGTAACGGAAACCCTTCCTCTACCCCTGGCAATTCCAAATCGTCTTTTTTAAACAATAGATGATATTTAAATATTGACTTAATTGCCACTGATTGCAAGAGCAGGAATTAAGTTGTTACACTTTTTTTCCTTTGTGTCTCAGCAGCAGCGTTTTAGGTTCGGTGAGTCCCAGTATGCCTTCAACTTACTTGAACAGTTTAAGTATAAAGATTAAGGGATGTGGTGTGCTGACTCATTAGGTCAGCTGAAACCTTTGATAAGAATGTTTTAGGTTAGTCAAACGCTAGCAAACATCCTCTGATAAAAGTACTGCAGTTACTGGAATAATTTATTTTAATATTCGATAGGGCAAAGAAATAAGAAAAAAAATTATATGAAAAAGGCTTCTTTAACCGTATACACCTAATAAATTAAAGACCTTTGTCTGTATCCATGTGGTAAGCCAAGCTTAATTTATCAGGTGATGATTCAGAAGGAGTGGTGCTGGCCTTGTCTTATGGGATGTTTTTAGAGCAAGGTGTATGTGTTAATCTGCATATGTCTCCCATTTCCTCAAAGATATTGATCCCAAAAAATGGAATATAAAGATGAGATAAATTAGCTATCTTTTTCAAGTAGATCTAAAACTCCTTCGTTAAACACAGCTATGCAATCAAATGTTGTTTAGTGATTCGTACATAGCAATTCTCTTCAGTTGGATTTTAGCCAGCTGTATCAAGGCACCATAGCAATGGGGAATTTAATGTGAGGACACGTTAAAGACGCAGGGGTCCTAATTTTCAAGACATGCATGCTTACCGGATTTGCATGCAAATAGAACTCTTCCTTTTTATCCTGGTAATTCTAAATCTTATCCCTTTTCTTAAATTAAAGTTGCTGTTCAGGTATTTTCCAAATTGCCACTGACTGAAAGAGTAGGAATTAAGTTGATGCAATTTCTCTTTAATGGATTGGCAGCAACATTGTTAGGCCAATCAAACACTCCATGATAAAAGTATGGTTATCGGCTACTGTAGTAATTTATTTTAATATTAGGGAAAAGAAAAAAAAATGCAATGGGTTTCTTTAACTCTAAGCACCTAATACTGTATAATAAACATGGTCGTCTGTCCATGTGGTAAGCCAATGTCAGCTTCATTTGTCTTATGATTCAGAGGGAGTGGTGCTGGCCTCATGTGATATGTTTAGAACAAGGTGTGTGTACAATAATCACAGGCCATAATGAAAAAGATAGTGACGGAGAAGGCTAGATTAAATGCCTTTTATTATTATTCATTCTTCTTTTTTTTTTTTTCTTTTTTTTTTTTTTAAAACAAAGCACCGTCACATGTACTTTCCAATAAATGAAATATTTCTTATAAATGTTGCGTTTTGTGTGTGTGGTTTTTTTTTTTGTTTTGTTTTGTTTTTTTTATCTAAATCATTATAAATAATAGAACATTTTAATGCAGAAATCATCAATTTATTTTCTTATAGATTTTGAATATTTTTCATTAAAGTTGACTTTAAGTGGTATCTTGCTTTCCCCATGAAGCTTAATGCCCCATCACTGACCAGACAGTTATCCTGTTTCAATAGCTGTGACTTGTGTAGTCATGGAATATAATGGGGGGTTATCTGTCTCCTGTATTCACACAGTAAGCACCAGTATTGTGATAAGAGAAAACCTGATTCCTTCGCAGTAATTACTTCATACTTTTGTAGAAAAAGCACTTAGGCAATCACACAGGCAGAATATATAAAACCTAAGAAAGTCCTCCAGACTGAAGACATAGAGGTGTTATTGAAATTAAAATTGTACCACATTTCGGTAACAACCCATGCAATCCATACAAAGAAACCAAAACAAATGAGTTCAAAAATTAACCAGTTGCCGAACAGCCACAGTACTTTTACTGCGGCATGTATATATACGTGATTTTGCATTTTCAGGTAGGGGGCGTGCACCCGCCCTACCCGCTCCACCGATCGTGGCCACGGGTGTCAATCACCAGGTCCCGGCCGGTGATTACCCGCTGGAGCCCGGTGATTACTGACAAACACCGACAGGGAGTAGGGCTGCATTGTTTAAAATGCAGCCCTCCTTACTGTCAGTTTGAGCACACTGTTCGGGATGGCTGAGCGCAGCATCCGATCAGTGTGCTTACAGTGAAGCACACCCCCCCGCCCCCTAGTAAAACACTCCTATCACACATTTAACCTTTTGATTGCTTACAAATATTACCCCTTCCTCCCCAGTGCCATTAGTACAGTGTCAGTGCTTTTTTTCTTTTGCACTGATCACTTTATTGGTGTCACTGGGGATTTCAGTGACCCCAAGTCAGTTCCCCCCCCCAGTGTCAGAATGTCCGCCACAGCCCCGCCATAAGTCGCTGATTGCCGCCATTATTAGTATGAAAAAAAATTCCAGTATTCCGCCATTTGTAGACACTATAACTTTACGTAAACCAATTAATTTACACATGGGATTTTTTTTTTTTAGCAAAGACATGTCACAGAATACATTTTGGCCTAAATTTATGACTAAATTAGATTTTTTTACATTTTTTTACTGGACATGTTTTTTAGCAAAAAGTCCAAAATATAGTTTTTTTTTCTGAAAATTGTCAGTCTTTTTTTTTTTATAGCGCAAAAAATAAAAACCACACAGGCGATCAAATACCACCGAAAGAAAGCTTAACTCCTGGGCAAAAAAGGATGTAAAATTTGGGGTTCAGCATTGCATGACCGCACAATTATCAAAGTAACGCAGCGCCGTAGCACAAACCGCTTCTGTAACCACTGTATAAAAGTATATATGCAGCGCTAATAAACATAAAGAAATGACAAAATATATTTAAATGCACCTGGACGTAACACACAAGACGCCAGAAAATTTAATAAGTAGGTTATGAGTAAAATAATCAGGTACAGTCAATATACTTGTGCAAAATAATAGTGACTGCTGTGAAAAAGTCAATAGGCTTATTAAGCAGAAAATCCGTGACTCCTGTGATGGTGGAAATAGGTGTAGATTGCACTAACCAGATATTGAGAGAGCTTGCGCATGGAGTACTTCTGACCTACTCCTCATTCTCTGGATCTGGAGCACTTCAAATGGCAGTAGTCATCTGTGCAGCAGCCACCAGGTGTCATACATCAAGATTCAGAAGCCAGCCTCCAGAGATGCGATGACAGCCACCAGGGGGATCACATATAGTACCATACGTCAGATGGACAGGAGTCAGGAAACACCTTCAAAACGGGGGGGGGGGGGGGGGCTCCCATACAAAAGAAGAGCCCCAAACAAAGCCTCCAATAGTGTAGTAGTCTTTATTGGTAAAATAAACGTGTATGAGATGAATCACACTTACATAGGAGAAATCAAGATGGCCGCCGGCCGTCCATACAAGCCATGCGGTGTCTAGACACAGATAGGGGGCACCTCCCTGACGCATTTCATGTAAAGACACTTTATCAAAGGTAATTTGATCACACCGATCTTGGTGATATTAGATAATGTAAGGGCAGAGGAGATATCTAGAATCTGATAGACCCCAGATTTCTCAAAAAAGAATATGACAATGCCCATTGAAGTTATAGGGACATTTGCATTCCCTGTGATAGCATTAAAAGTGATCAAAAAAAAAAATTAAAGGGACAGTGTAAAAATAATTTTAAAAAGTCTAACTTAAAAAAAAAAAAAAAACACCCTCGCCTTCCCCCGCGCGCACCTGCATGCGCGAGCGTTGACCCTGTACAGGTATGTAAACAGTGGTTTCACCATGCATGTGATGTATCGCTGCGAACGTCAGATCAAGGGCAGTAATTATAGCACTTGGCTTCCTCTGTAAATCTAAAATGGTAGCTTGTAAAGGCTTTTAATGCATTGCCTATGTCGCCATTATTAAAATGCGCATGTATGTCAGTAATCATTTTGCATACCATTATCTTTTATATTTCACGAATTAATTGGCGAATATTATTGTGTTTTTGTGCCATGTTTGTACTATCCTGGTATTTTAGCACCTCAAGAAATGTGCTGGGCAGTCAGAAAGTAAAAGCTGTGTAAATTCCATATCTATACTATAGTTTGTAGATGCTATAACTTTCACACAAAGCAATCAATATACACTTATTGGGATTTTTTTTAACCAAAACAACATGTAGCAGAATACATTTTTGGCCTAAATTTTTGACGAAATTTGAGGGTTTTTTTTAATGACAGAAATGAGAAAAATATATAGGTTTTTTTTTTTTTAATTTTTCAAAACTTTTTTTTCGTATTTTTATAGCATCAAAAATAAAAAAGCGCACAGGTTATCAAACCACCAAAAGAAAGCTCTATTTGTGTAAAAAAAAGGAAATAAATTTCATTTATTTACCGTATTGCTTGACCCGCGCAATTGTCAGTTA